TTGGAGGGAGCTTAAACTCTGCGTTGCTCAGCGACAGCCCCGAAACCTGACAGATCTAGAGGAGATCTGTGTGGAGGAGTGGGCCAAAATCCCTGTTGCAGTGTGTGCAAACCTGGTCAAGAACCACAGGAAACGTTTGACCTCTGTAATTGCAAACAAAGGTTTCTGTACCAAATATTAACACTGATTTTCTCAGGTGTTCAAATACTTATGTTCAGCAGTGCAAGACAAATAAATTCTTTAAAAATCATACAATGTGATTTCCTGACATTTTTTTTTTAATTCTGTCTCTCAGAGTGGGAATGCACCTACAATGTGAATTTCAGACCCCTCCATGATTTCTAAATGGGAGAACTTGCAAAATCGCAGGGTGTTCAAATACTTCTGTTCCTCACTGTAACTACAATATTAAGCCTTCCCTGGTAGGCTAGTGGTTAAGGCGCAGCGCTCTCCCCGCTGCACCCCGGGTTTGAATCAGGGTTGCGTCAGGAAGGGCATCCGGCGTAAAACACGTGCCAAATGTCAACATGCGAGTCGTCAGTGTGACGATTTGCTGTGGTGACCCCTAAACAGGAAAAGCTGAAAGTGACTTTCTTACATAACTACAACATTAATCATTTCCCTTTTTGTCTGTGAACTAATAACAACAACCTACAATATTTAAATGAATAAAGTTTACTTTTCCCTGACAATTGGATGTCATTGTATTCATATTTCATTGGAAGTATGAATTTATAATTTTCCAGGACATGTAGGGGCCTTGCAGCTGAATATCAGCTGAATGTTACTGTGGGCATTTCAGCATGTAGAACCTTACTGCAATATGCATCCATTACAAAAGGAACTGTTTTTATAATATAGTTTCCTGAGCAATATACACACCCAAAAACAAGTTTATAAATTCTAACAAATTTAACCATTAGGTGTACCATACTGTACAGCTAAAAGCTGTGTCAAAATATTATTTGGTGTCATCTACAAATACCAGCCAGACTCAGCCATATAACACTCATGTTCAATTGTTATGTGCACCTGAGTGTGACGTGGGACATTTCATTGGTGTGTGCTTGGTGAGGACTTTTCACTGGAACAAACAGACTCCTCATCCTTCTGCTTTAATACATCCATGGGTAAAGCGTTTGATGGGGTTGCCTGTTGTCTGAAACATTCATTCCAGGAACCTGCCTTCATCTGGACCTTCAAACTGGGTCTAAAAATGTCAGTGGTTTGTCATTGTAGACCTTAAAATGAGGTGGTCTGTCCATCTGAAGTAAGAGTTACACACTGGAGTTCAGTTTCTTGTCCTGCTAATGCTGCAGTGCAGTTTGGCCACAGCTCATCTTGCCTTTAATGTGCGACTACAGTATATGCACAGTATTTGCAACTATATGGCAAGAATTACCAATCCAGCAGCCAGTAAAACCTTGAGGGATTTTCAATAATTAACACGCCACTACCGCTTTCCCCTTCCCTGGGCTCATCTGGGACTCTCCCCATGCACCCCAGCAACAAAGCAACAAACATACATACACATATACACACATAGATACACACCACTATCACAACTTAAAACACTTTTCCTTGCATGTTGTCCCAGAAAATCCATAGAGTGGAGTGTCAGCAGGAGGAAGTGAGACGTGACTTTACAACCTGGCTACCAACTAGAGGAAAGTACAGTTGTCTGCTTCTAGAAAGCAAGAGACTAAGTCCATCATGCACAAGCTTTTCCTCTTCTAACAGTGAGTTTACTTTAATAAAAAAAAGACTCATTTAAATTCCTCACAGAGCAGATCGAAGTCTCTGATTATGTTGGGACTCCCTTTTGGCAGGACAGGCTTTATATTATCAACAAAACCCACTAACCCCTAATGCTCATGCCAATCTTGTGTGGACAAGATGCAAGATTGTAGGTCATTGAACAAAATTCAACCGCACATGCTTGACCGACCACAACTCAGATGCATTTATCCACAAAGAGTATTTTAAAAATACAGACGTTTCTACAAGACCAGTGCAGAGTGTCTGCATTACTCGGAAATTAGTACTGCAGCATCATAGTGGTAACCACTAACTTTTCCAATACTTAACAACAAACACCATCTGCAGGTGTATGTGACCAGTGTATCATTGCTGTCAGGTGAAACAGCAACACCAGAAGTGACAGGCTGCCCAGCATAATGACAAACTACGAAGATTGGCCTGGGTTAATAAGGCAATAGTTCCTTAAATTTACTGAGGACAATCAAATATTTAGTTTTCCAGCCACATAAGCTGTTAGAAAACAACTTAGCACTGACAGACCAAATGTTGCTAGCAGCTTGTTATATCTTCCCACAGTATTTTGAACTGTTAGCACAGTACACCATTATATAAGCTGTGTTTTAAATACGTTTTGTCTGTAGCTGCCGTGTTAGCTGTGACAGCCCTGACTGCAGACTCCTTCGGGATATCAGCCCACTTCCTGTATCACAGCCACTGGATGTGGAGGAATTAAGAAGTGTCTACAGTAGGTGTGTGTGTGTGTGTGTGTGTGTGTTTCAAGGGGGGTGGAGACATGAAGCTATAGAAAAGCTGCTCTACAGTTATTTAGTGAAGCTGTATTTTCCAGCATCCTCTGTGAGAAATGGGTCAGAGCAGCACAGCACCTGCTGCTGTGAGAAATCAATACATGTTACATACTGTAGCTACTGGAGGTGCCTGGCAATTTGATAGTGAAAGTTTGATGAAATGTTTAATATGAACACATTTGCTCATTTGTAAATCACTAGTTGTCCAAATGTTACATCACTCGCCACTTTGTTCTACAAGGTATAGCCTTCAAAGATGAATGTTAAAGCCATGAAGCAGCGTTACTTTTACAGTTTGTACTGTTTACTCACCATCTCATCTGTCTGATATTTTCACATTACCAAGATGTATTTAGTGTGAAATTTTAGAAGTGTGCGCTTTGCTCATCTCACTGAGACTCAAGACCTTCACTGCACTCATTCTGTCCAAATTGCTCCATTACTTCATTAAATTTAAATATGGGTGAAGTCTTTTTTTTTACCAAATGCGAGGGAAAAAATAGCAGAGGGAAAAAGACTGAACTAGTGTGAAAGATAACAGGAACATCAATACAGTAAACCCCCAAGACTTCAGCTCCTGCTGAGCTGCCCCACTGTCACTCCATCTCTGGCAGCCCTAAAGGCATATTTCACGTTGTATTAAAAGTGAAAGGATAGCTGGAGTAGCAATTTTTAGTGCTGGGCAAATGTGACATTTTGTCACTGTAACTACAGTAAATAGGGAGCAATTCTTAATAGTAAGGGTCAGAACTAAACATATGTACAACCTCTGACATTTGAATACAAGGACTCAAGAATTAAAATGCATTTCCTCATTGTCTTGCCCCCCTTTTCTTCAGCACACATACCTGATCTGGTTACATGGTCCCTTTGTCCAACTCGGGGTAATCCTGTGGAGTTTTACCATGAAAAGCCACCAGCATCCTTATCGAGAGCAGAGAAGCGCTTGGCATGGGACTGCTGCGGAACTTCCCCAATCAGCCGGAGTCCAGAGCGCGCAACACCGTCAGGAAAGCACAACACTCCTGCTGGGAGACCAGCGGACTAGAGGTCAGAGGGAGGGATGCAGAGACATGACACCAAAGAAACGGAGCATAGTCACGGTGAAACAAAAGGAGCAAACATACTGTACAGGTAAGGACGAGGGCAGCGCGTCGGGATAAGCGTTTTTACGCGCATGTAAAGACGCTTTAACCTTCACACTTAGCGGTGGTCTTCTCTGAGCTCCAGCTGGACAAAACAGACACCACGAGACACGTGAAATCACAGAAATTCACACAGACACATCCAACAAGTAAAGGGCGAGGAGACGAAATGACGGAGTCTGCTGCGGGGCCGACTGGGAGGCGACGGTGGGAGGAGAGAAGCTCAAATCATCACACAGTACCTCCCTGGCAAAGGTCCTAATAAAGCCACATTTCAGGGGAGATATTGTATAAAAATATACATGGAATTATAGAGCTGTTATTAGAGGAAAGTTATCACAAGATGTAGGCTGGTATCCTTACATATTTGTCAGTTGAGTTCCACTTTACAGTATCTGGCAGAAAATTGTAGGAGACATGTCATGGATACTTTTTAAGGTCACATGGCCGATTGTAAGGTAAAGTATAGGCCCCTGTAATCTCATGTTGTGCACCACATTAGGAAAAAATGAAGATAAATGGCACAAAGCAACAAAAAAAAAGTGTCACTGAAAACACAAGCACTATTATGACTTTGATTAAAGTCACTGCTGATCAATGAAAACAGGTTTTGTTATAAGATCAGTTATCTTATAACAAAACAAAGCCTGAATATTACCATGATAGTTGGGTTTTGAGTGTTCCCATGTGGTTGTGCCCTACACACAGTAAATAAATTCACAGTAAACCCCCAAATAGAGACGATCGAGCTACAGTAATTGATTCGCCCTCAATCAATGCTCCCTAAGGCCTAGCTGCCCAGACAGGGCTTACAGATCCAGCCTGCTGAATCCTGGAGCCTGCTGAGAGGATGAGGAAATCATGGAAATTAGTTTAGGGATGTTTAAACAGCACTACATTCTGCATATTTGAAAAGCAGTAAAGAATTTCAGCTTGAAAGAGGTAAGATGTTGCAAAGGAAGTGTTTAAAATAGTTTTAAATGGCCTGGTGTCCATGAATCTCTGCGCTGATGATAACCTGATGGGCTGTAACTTGCTGCCTTTTCTTATTTAGGAACTCTGCTGGTGGTGCTTTAGAAAGCTCTGGTTTTAAAAATAAACCAACAAGCAGGTTCTCTGTCAAAGCCCAGTATGTATTTCAGCGAGTTCACTGACATACAAGCTAATAATTTGACCTTTACTTCATTAATGAAATACATTTACAGCTGAAACTGCTAAGCATCAAAACATTTTTATTAATGATGCTGAGCTGTAGTGACAGAATACAGCTGCTGATGAGATTGTCTAGAAGCATAAGATAGCACAAGTCTAATAATCATAAATGAAACTAGCTTACTGTGAAACTTCCCTGTGATTTGGATTTGTCTGAAGGATGTGAACAGGAAAACAAGACAGTTCTGTTAGAAAGAAAGATATGTAAAGCAAAGCACATTCTGCCTTGACATGTTTCAGAGACAAAAAGTGTACCGTTAGTCTCTCCCCTCCAGGTTCTACCCCAACAACTGCCATTCAACTTAATGAGCTGTCAGCTGTGCTGAGGCTGATGTTGAGCATGTTTCTGAACACTTGCCCGCTCATGTTTCTCTTCCTGCTCATTGTTGCTGGGACGTCCTCCTCTTTAGCCACTAGCCTCCCATTCACAGCTATACCTCTCTGACCTGCAACCTATGAAAAATTGGTATATGCCCCTAAAACACCACAAAACCTCTTAAAAGCTCATTTTGATAATAACAGACAGGCCCTGTTTACTTACCAGAAAGAGACTGCCAATTCTGGGAGGGATGTATGAGCTATAACTGAAGGAATGAAGGAGAGGAAGCTTCCCCTGAAACAGCATCTTCTGTTCACAGTTACAAAGCAGACATAAAGCTGCAAGGAGTGCAGGTTGTAAAGCTCCGTACTTCATTTGTGATCATTCACCCAGAAAACTGTCATTGCTGCTGCAGAAAGTGATTTGACCCTCAGCTACTGTACTGTACTGTACCCTGAACTACTTTTGCATTACCTCAAAATAAATTTTGCATTCCCTCTCATTAATTTTTGCAGTCCTTTGCAATATTTTTTGCATTTGTCCTGACCCATAGGAACACTTACTCTAGTGTTTTTCTAGTACAATCGTAATACACCGCCACTTTAGGGAAACACTGCAGATACTGCAGAAAGAAAAGATGATCTTGCACTTCTGATGAGGCATTTATTCCATTTTGTCCCTTTCAAAAGGATTAGTGATTACTGCACCTGTTAACATTAGCTGAGAAGTGATCCTTGTCAGATGGGATTTGAACCCGTGTGTTTAAATCATGACAGATGTGTTAGCAAAACACCACATGAATTCACTAATACAGTAGCTTCATGACAACACTCAGACTCATTCATGACCAAGCAATAATAAACTTACTACAAGGGAGCAAAATTACTGCAAGGTCATGGAAATTTTATTGCAAAGTAATGCAAAAGTATTTCAGAAACAAAATTCCCACCATTTTGGGAGCACTATAATATAGCATCTTAGTATAAAGACTGGAAACAAACTGGTACTTGTGGTGCTGGAACACCATGCAATGAGTACTTGAAGCTGAAATCCTGTGCCAATGACAAACAGTGGACATGCAATCATAAAAGTGATGGAAGCATACGCTGCACATACAGTACATATATTCTCACACACCAGCCTTCACTGGACCAGCTGTTTGGGAGTGTGCGTTGGGGAGCAGTATCTCTATGGCAACCGAGGAAATAAGAGGCCACTGTGTGTGTGTCTGTGTGACAACAAAGCTAATTCTATTTCCTATGCCGGGAGGCAGCTCTCACTTGATGCTTATCTGCCCATCCCTGGTATTTTAGAGTTCTCACTGTTGTCTCTCTGGCCACGTCCACACTAACACAAACGGTTTGTGCATCAAATTTCCATCCCAACAAACTTTTTAACATAGCTTTCTAAAAGTTTGCCACCCACACTGTAGAATCCACCACACATTGCATTCCACTGTTTCATCACTTAGCTGAATACAGTCATCAGTTTAACATAGATTACACACAGCCAGTTATCATCTATACCAACTCAGGTACAGATATGCAACTTTTCAAATCACAGTCAGTGAAGACTATGCAAGTCAAAAGCAATCTAGCATAGTTAACTAGGACTAGCACTGCCACAACATCCCTGTAAGAGCTGCTCTTAAAGTTAACAAATCAGTTTTTCCATTTATAGGTGGTGTTATTAATTCATTCGAAAAGCAACACAGATCAATTTGTTTTCTCTCATGGAGAGTTGAGGCACAGCAACAAGTACCCTCCATCAACCTCCATCATGTCCTCTAGCTGGGAGCCTCCAGCCAATTGCGCAGTACACGGCCATTACGTCTCCACAGGGAGCTGTCCAGGAAGCATCCTGATAACGTCAACCGGTTCCTTTTAGAAAAGCCACCTTAGTTCACATTATGATGAAGGCTGCCAATCCACAGTCACTTGTCCTTTGTCTCCTGTCAAAAGAATTTTTAATGAAGCACAGAAGTCACTGGAATCTTTTTAAGTAATTAGTTTACTTGCAGCAAGGAGACAAGTCAGCATGAGCATACAGAGTTGTCTGAGTGAGGTAGGTTCATACAACATAATATATAGTAAACAGGCACACCCTGATAACACGACTTAGACGCCAATCATACTGGGACACATGCTTATCCTACAGTTGACGGTCTCACTTCGTCTGGAACAGTCTGTAGTCGAGTATATCACAGTGCACAGAGTTTCACATGAAAAATAGAAAACGTCCTTCAGCCAGTTCCTCACATGGCTCTGTTCAGATTTTCAGCAAGACTGTGCAAAGACAACCATCCGCTCAGGCAGCAAAGCTTCACAGTAGCAGATGCTAGAGTGCCACCTTGGAAAAGAAGCCAGGTCTAGCTGGTCTTTTCAGAACAGTCCAGTATCCCTCAGAATTATGTTCATACTGGAACCGCTTTTGTGATTTAGGACATTTGGTGCTGAAGCACTAGCATAGCGAAAAGCAGGTGGCAGTGGTTGGTGGGCAAGCAGAAAGTCCGACTTGCAGAAGCTTCCCCATCACAGATCAGTAACAAACCTTACCATACAAACCCCACAACCTTTCCCTAGCTACAGTATTAAGTGTTTTAGTCATTTAGTTAGTCCAACCATTGTATATTTGCTATAAGCACAACCTTAACCATACTATAGTCACCATGCATGGCTACTCCAGAAGATAAATGAACATTCAAATATGTTTACTGAATGTAACCTGAGATTTTACAGGATCTTAAAATATACGTATAATGTATACCGAAGTCATGTTTAATTATTTTGCATCTTTTACAAAAGAACTTGCCTTCAGTGCAAAATGTGCAGACTGCAGCTTCATGTACAATAATGACTGAAGGTTTCCCGAGCGCCATTGCTGACAGTGCAGCTCTGCAGCTCTATAAGGCAAAACATCACTAGTCTGTGACACTCTCTATACTGTATGAATGAGTTTGACCCTGCTCATCCCAGATACTCTATGTTGTATAGCTGAGTGTCTTTTGTTGTACAATTCCTGTCTCACTACTGAGTTAGTGCAGATGTTCTAACTACTGAGTTAGTGCAGATGTTCTAACTACAGAGATTCACAGTACTTACTACTTACAAATCCTCTTTACAGGAACATTTGTATGGAAACTATCTTTCAGTTTTCCATGTTCGATGTTATAATCATTTACAGAATGAAAGATTTTCAGTATAGACTGAAATGTGCAAATAGAGAAGGATACAAATGAGACAAAAGTGGGAAGGATGGTGTGGAAAAAAAGATGATACAAGAGTGAGAGGGAGTGTGAGAGAGATCTGTGGGGACAAACAATACCCAGTGGCGGTGTATATTGTCTCTGTTGTCACAGAGCACGGCAGTTTGATGCACTGCACTGCTGGACCAAAGACAATTCTGTGAGTGCGGACAGTCTGGCGTATCTGCATATTGATTATTTGTGGCTGCCATAAATACAGTTTAATGGAACTGTCAGTGTGTGCCATCGCACATTAAGTGAGTCTGGAGCTCAGCTGCAGCTGGATGCTGCCGGCAAACAACTCTGGCCACATCTGCATCCAGGTGGAGAATGTGCAGCAGGCAGCCTGAGGAACTTGTACAGACCTGAACATGGTCAACGCAAGTTTAAGAAAGATGAATACATTCTTAAATCTTATTTTAAC